ATATAATCAATAGCAAGTCGTACTGAGATTCTAATTCGCACGCAGAGGACAATCAACTTTAAATTACAATTATAGCTGTTCGATTAAATTTCTCGCGCTCGTTGCATGACGCAGGCAAGAACGTGCTGAAAGATTCGCGGCACGAATACATCAAAGCTTTAATTTATGCGCTGCACTCTAAACTATTTAGCAGATACCGAGTGTTTGGTCGCGTTTTTTTTATTAACACTAAGCCATAATCACAAATAATCTTGAAAGACGCAAATGCGCGAGGTAGGTGGACCACTCGTTTGACACATATGTTGAAATACTCTTATTTTTCCCTTCCGCGCGCGATTTGGTGAGACGGACGTGACTGGATACATATTAGAATCCGCGAAGTCGTTATCAATACATATGCAGCGATTATAAATTCGTTGTGAAGCCCACAGCCATTCACTTCGGGAAGTCTTAACGTTGGAAAGGGTTCGTGGTCTCTTAAAAAAATCTAACTAATTTTTTTTCCGACTGCTTTTTCTACTACCGTCTGGCTAATATTGGCTCACCCTCTATGGTAAGCTCACTGTCTATCCTTAGCTCGGAGCAGGTTGTTATAAAAACGATTTTGAGGGCCAGATTTTGACGCGCTATCAATCAGGTGAAATATAATATTTAAGATATTGATAACCAGTCAAGTTAAGGAGTGCTTTATAAACATTGGAGTTTCATATAAGGTGAAAATTTTTCTGACTTATATTTACTGTTGAATAATACTAAGGCCTAAMCGCGTCCCAGCAAACGCGCGTTTTGTCATTGTCCTAGTTTCGCTAAGGGATTTTTAAAAAGCAATAACTTGAGCTGAGATGATTTGTGGAGATTGGGACAATCAGTAATTATTGCCACTTTTACAGTTTCTTGAATCTGAAGAATAGACCTGATTATAACTGAATTAGACTCTGAGGTTATGCAATTGAATTAATTGCCATTATAATTTGCGATACTTTATATTTCATATTTCCATGCCATTATATGGATAGAAGGTTAATAACSCGTTAACACACTGTATAGCCTCCGGCCATACTTAGTRCATTTTTTACGTTGGAAGGGTTYCYKGTRCCTTAAAAAAATCTAATGYCGCCTGTCTCTTAAAAAAAATCTAATGTCGCCTAATTTTCTTTTRACGGCTCATTCCATCTACTGTCTAGATCATACTGGCTCACTCTCTGGTAAGGTAAGSTCACTGTTTTCTCCCAATTWGTACTCGCGGYTTMGCTTATTCTTAGCCCAGATCATGCAGTTTGTCAGGTTGTTAAAAAACGTTTTTGAGGGAACAATCAGGCGAAATATACTATTTAAGATATTGATCACCAGCCAAGTAAGGAGTACTTTGTAAACATTAGAGTTTCATATAAGGTGAAAATGTTTCTGACTCATTTTTACTGTTGAATAATACTAAGGTCTAGTGTCTATACGATCGTCTATACGCGTTTCGACATCGCCCTAGTTTCGTCAAAAGGGTTTATTAAAAAGCAACAATTTGAACAGAGTCAGACATGATATGTAATTTTCTTTCGACCGCTTATTCTACTACTGTTTACAGTAGCTCATACTGACTCTCTCTGGAAACTGCTGTGACTACTTTCATTGCATCATCCAAATAACATATCCCGAACGATAAAATCTCAAATATATGAATATTCGTTACACGGATTTGCTAAGGTCATGACAATCTGGACAACTGAGCTAACCCTTCTTGCTTGAATTGTCCTATTATCATGTTTCCACATTATACAATCTCTCAAATGTTATGGTTTTCGTTCATTTTTAGCGTTGCTGGTCTTTTTTTTATAGAATTCAATTCCATATTCAATAAGAGACATTTCCTCGCAGACGATGACTTAAAAGCTGCTGTTATAATTTATTTATTTAAACAAACTATGACCTCTGAGTAACTATATTTAATATGTTAATCTCTATTTAACTTTTTAATTTAACATTTACCTTTGAAAGAGCTTAGAGAAAGCTACA